TTGTGTCGGCTTGAAATGATTGCGAAATTGAATTTACAGGGTGACTAAGCAATAGAAGCTGTAGTTTGGAGCTTCAGGGGAAACTGGCCATTTTAATTACACTGGGTGGTTTCACAGCAGGCGAATAAAACTTTGTAGTACGCACCGTAAATTATAGTTCAAACAGCCTTAAGAGATCAACACTTTGTATACACGAACGCAACAAACCAAGCTCATCGAACGAACTTGTATCTCTTACATGATTATTTAGTGGACTAATCAGGGTGAACAACGGAAGTTCTTCGAACAGGCTGGCCTTCAGTAGAAGTGCCTCGTGAGGCACTTCCACAGTTCACCCTGATTATCCCACTACGTGTTTCTATCTGTCGGTTCCCATCTTGATTTTGGAGTTCCATGACTATTTAAATTCATACAAATGATGGCGCAGACGCAGAACGAATGAGGAAGTCGAAACGAAATAAAATTTTTCTATATTTTCTTTGCATATTTTGCCTACATAGTTATCAAGGTGGACGTGAAAAAAAAAAAACAAGCATGTCACAATCGAAAGCGCGCGAATGGAATAAACGCAATTTATTTTTCGCGTCGCAGTAAATTTCTATTGCAAACTAGATAAGACAGACGCGTCCGCGATTACAAAGATTGTTCTCGTCCAATGTAGCTCCCTCTTCCAGAGCATGCGCATTGTGACGGCGCATTAAACGGCAGGCTCGTTGCCGCGCGCCTCTTTTTTTTTCCCCTCAACTTTCGCCGGCGCGATTTCCAGTGCGAACGCGATTTCGGCAAGGTCTCTGGCTTCGCAAATTTGTGTCACCGTACAGAGTGGGGGCCCAGCGGTTTCCATCGCCACTGGGATAATAAGGAGGAAATTAGGCGATCGGAAAAAGCACTAAGCGATTGCGAGAGTATTTTTGCATTGTGGAAGGTATACGCGCTGTTCCCTCGAAAGCGCATGCGCAGAGGGCTTCCAGATTTCCGCGTGCATGGCACACATAGCTTTTCTCGTCGATTTGTCTCCACGTCGCCGCCAGTCGCGGGTCACGCGAATCTCACGATGCCGCGCTTTTTTTTTTTTTTTTTTTTTTTCAGGAGACCGAAATGACCGTTTAGTGCGCGTACCGCATATGCGCGCGCATAAGTGTCGTGCTTCAAGGCTAGAACATCGTATGTCATTAGTCCGAGAAGTTTTCGAGATCTGGCGAGACCCGACGTTACAGCGCGAGACCGATGTTTACGCGAATCGGGCGAGAAAAAAAAAAAGAAAGAAAAAAGCTACGTTGGTCAAACGTCGCGTGACACTGAATTGAGTGAGTGTGTGTAGTCGACATGCCAAAAGTCGTATATGGCATTAGTTTACCATATCGCCATCAATAACACGCCACCCTATCACGTCGTCAGGACGTCCCAGAACACCGAATTTGGGACGTTATTATGACTGCATGATGATGTCATCGCACAGCATCCTCGATTGGTCAAAGGCGAGCCGATCACAGAGGCCGGGCCGAACAACGTCAGAGGCGTGGTTTGGCCCGGCCTCCGGGCCTAGGAGATCTGGGGCGTGGCTCCCACATGTTTTACGGAATACTGTTTCCGTAAGACACCTGGGCGTTGCCATTTTGGGCTGTTAAGTCGGTGTCTTCTTGTTTTTGTGTATGGCAACATTGATTAGTAAGGCCATGAAACGTTGTATGCACTAACCCGAGCGTTTTTATGCGTATGCGTCTACTGTAACTCTGTTCATTTAGTTTTTGAAGATACAAAACACAATGATTAACCAACCAACATGCATGGTGGCACTCGGACCCAACCGTAAAATGGTGTACACAACTTCACCGGTCACCGAGTCGTGGTCACGTTGTTCACGGACATTCCAAGCTGCTGCAGTCCAGCCCGTTGTATATCGCGTGCTCAGTGCATGCAACACGGCCTCTAATGCTGCCGGCTTTTAAAAGCTCCACTCCAGCTGTCCGGCTGCATTATACAAAAAGCGGTAGCCAAGCGGGGTGCATGGCGTCACGTCGTCTAGATGCTTATCTAATTACGCGCGTGCAAACCACCACCGCTGGATATTTTTTCAGGTCTGCTTGTCGTCCCGCACGTGGCAATGAGTGCGCAGCTCCGCATACTAACAATGGGAATAATTACGACCCCCTCCCCCAACCTTCCGACCTCCTCCCCTGTTCTTCAAACTAGTTTGTTGATCCACTTGCTTCGGGGACCTTAGTTTTCTTAGAGAAAAGACATTACACTTGTCGTCGTTTCCGGTGTGTACGACTCGGCTGTATCTCAGCTGCTTTTACATGGAGGCGAAAAACTAGAAGACCGCATGCTCAGAATTTCGTGAACCATAGAGAAGCACGTGTGATCGTGATTTTTCGGAGGCCTTACATTGCAGTGTCTCATGACCGTGTTGTGGTTTCCGGGCGTAGAATTTCGAAAATATTAACATTGTTATTTCTTGGATAAAGAGAGGGCTCTCGACTTCGAGTAAGTACGGTACGCACTCCGTCCAATCTTCTGATGGTTTGAAGTGACGACACCGAATACACCGTTTCGAAGTACCAACCTGATGGTTCGTGGCGTCACAGTCCCTTTTAACGCCACCAGGACTCTGGTGGCGTTAATAACGATGTCACGGTAATGTCCTTACCGTAGCATGTAGGTTCTTCTTTCAGTCGTCTACAGAGGACACGAAAAGTCTGGCTGTGTCTTTGCCACATTGGGTTGGTTTAATCGCCACGTGACTACGCTGCCTTGACGTCATCAAAGACACCATGCTGGAGTATACCAGCACGTTGAGATACTGTGCCCGTGGCATAACTTGGGGGCCATCAATATAGACACTTGGGGCAATTGCTTAGAGGGCTGTGGTTTGCGAGACTATAAGCGTGAAGACGCCTATTCAACGGACGGCCACGGGGGGAAGATTTCTATGGATGCGAAGTGCAAAATACATCCTCGCCTGACAAGATATTAAAATAGAGATAGAGATTCTATACGTTTGCGCTAACAGCATAGGTCGGCAAACTCACTCATTTTGACTCGGATCGAGACGCGAGTCGGGCCCCGGGGGAGTCCGAGTGTGTAATAGTTAAGATTCAGTTCGAGTGAGTCTCGTCATCATCATCATCATCAGCCTGACTTCGTCCACTGCAGGACAAAGGCCTCTCCCATGTTTCGCCAGTTAACCCGGTCCTGTGCTTGCTGCTGCCAATTTATACCCGCAAACTTCTTAATCTCATCTGCCCACCTAACCTTCTGTCTCCCCCTAACCCGCTTCCCTTCTCTGGGAATCCAGTCAGTTACCCTTAATGACCAGCGGTTATCCTGTCTACGCGCTACATGCCCTGCCCATGTCCATTTCTTCTTCTTGATTTCAGCTATGATATCCTTAACCCCCGTTTGTTCCCTAATCCACTCTGCTCTCTTCTTGTCTCTTAAGGTTACACCTACCATTTTTCTTTCCATTGCTCGCTGCGTCGTCCTCAATTTAAGCTGAACCCTCTTTGTAAGTCTCCAGGTTTCTGCTCCGTAGCTAAGTACCGGCAAGATACAGCTGTTATATACCTTCCTCTTGAGGGATAGTGGCAATCTACCTGTCATAATTTGAGAGTGCTTGCCAAATGTGTTCCACCCCATTCTTATTCTTCTAGTTACTTCAATCTCGTGGTTCGGCTCTGCGGTTATTACCTGCCCTAAGTAGATATAGTCTTTTACAACTTCAAGTGCACTATTACCTATTTCGAAGCGCTGCTCTTTGCCGAGGTTGTTGTACATTACTTTCGTTTTCTGCAGATTAATTTTAAGACCCACCTTTCTGCTCTCCTTGTCTAACTCCGTAATCATGAGTTGCAATTCGTCCCCCGAGTTACTCAGCAATGCAATGTCATCGGCGAAGCGCAGGTTACTAAGGTATTCTCCATTGACTCTTATCCCTAACTGTTCCCATTCTAGGCTTCTGAAAACCTCATGTAAGCAGGCGGTAAATAGCATTGGGGAAATTGTGTCCCCCTGCCTTACACCCTTCTTGATTGGTATTTTGTTGCTTTCTTTATGAAGCACTATGGTAGCAGTTGATCCCCTGTAGATTTCTTCCAGAATATTTATGTATACTTCATCTACGCCCTGATTCCGCAGTGTTTGCATGACGGCTGATATTTCTACTGAATCAAACGCCTTCTCGTAATCTATGAAGGCTATGTATAGTGGTTGGTTATACTCTGAGCATTTCTCTATTACCTGATTGATAGTATGAATGTGGTCAATTGTTGAGTAGCCTGTTCGAAATCCTGCTTGTTCCTTTGGTTGATTGCATTCTAATATTCTCTTTACTCTGTTAGCAATTACCTTTGTAAATAGCTTGTATACTACAGAGAGCAAGCTGATCGGCCTGTAATTCTTCAAGTCCTTGTCATCTCCTTTCTTATGTATTAAGATGATGTTAGCGTTCTTCCAAGACTCTGGTACTCTTCCCGTCAGGAGACACCTCGTAAACAGGGTGGCTAGTTTTTCTAACACAATCTGTCCTCCATCTTTCAGCAGATCTGATGTTACCTGATCCTCACCAGCAGCTTTGCCCTTTTGCATGCTCTCCAAAGCTTTTCTGACTTCTTCTATCATTACTGGTGGTGTGTAATCTGGGTTACTGCTAGTTCTTATGGTCTCGTCGGGAGGTGTTTATTAGGGAGGCTGACTCTGAGTGAGTATAGCTCAGCAGGAGTCTGACTTTCGAGGAGTCTGAGCTCCAATTTTTTTCCTTTTTTTTTTTGGCTGACCAATGGTTATATATAAGAGCAAGCGTAATGCAGACCGGGCCGATCCCTGTGCGTGTCGCTGTGGCCTGTAGGTCGCGATTTTAATCACTTTTAGCTTGAAGTGAACAAAGTATTCCGCAACGGCTGTTTCACCAGCGCGCGAGCTTAGTGATTGAAGCTTGTCGCACGCGTAATATCATCGCTCATCTTTACACCGATAACCTTTCCTTCCTCCCTCTCTCGCAGGCAGGAAGCGTCGACGACACCAGTCTTTTTGGGAGCGACCACAATAGTGTCATACGGAAAGGTGAGTGTTCCCACAGCGCTTAGCGAAAGCTCTCTCGAACTTTGCGGTGATGGGCATTTTTTTCTCGATTTTGATTACGTGGCAATGAATGCACGATAGCACTGAAGCTTGAGCGTGCAAAGTGCGTACACCTGTGTTGCACATTGCCTTTCTTCTTTCATTGTCACTTCATTTCATCAACGTATTAATTGTATAGTTTATTCCGTGTCAATATAGGCCACCTCCAGTGCTAGCCTAACACAGGGCCGTACAAGAGTGCTTGTATCGGTTTTTTTCTTCTACGCCTATTTTCTGATACCTCTGTTCATCACGACTGACGATACACTCACTTCTATGGTGCACGTGTTGCATTACTTTGATACGAATTGCCCAATGCATTTTGTAATTACGTATGCTCCTGTATACGACTGTCTGAATGCTAACAGGAGGGGGGAGCACTTTGTCCGGAGTTTGTACACTATAATATTAATGACTTTCAATTTCCTTTTATAGGTGTCAGTTATACTTGTATAACACTCCTTTTAGAGAGTCACCTTTACTCTTTTTAGAAGAGTCGTGAGCCGCACGGCTCTCCCATAGAAAGTCAACGGACCTTTCTATAGGGAGTGCTGTACAAGCGAGTATTACATGTACAACGGAAAACGGAGTCAAAAAGCACCTTTTGTTGTTCAAGTGTACACTTTTACCTCCTTAGCGCCATCCACACGTTTCGGTGATGGAATACCATTAACCTACCATTAACCATTACTCGCCCACATTCCCTTTTCTTTTAGTTTTATTTCACTACTTGCACTGCAAGAGGTGAAAGGATGATGGAACGGAGGATAGGAGTAGTATAGACCTCACCGACTTATTATTGGTTGTTTATTGGAGGGAATAGAAAGTAGGCGAAGGGAAGGACGGAAGGGGGTACTGATGGTCGCTGTAACTCTCCAGCTCGAGCAACTTATGTATCTCAACAGAGGGCATCAGAGTATGACGGCGTAGTAAGACTTAGGGAGAGAATGGGGAAGGATAGAGGAAGGGGAAGGGACATTTCACGCTTGTGCTGCATGGATGGATGAAATGGCTATTTGCACATGTGCGCAGGTGTTATCTAACGCCCGATATAGTTCACTTGCGCGGGTGCCCTCCTGAAGGGCTTCACTGTTTTATGAATATAGCTATCCATTTCTGCAGAATAGACGTCATGTATGTGTATGTTTACCGTCCCTTTACTACTTATTCACTGTTCGAACATTACATACATGTAGCCATTTCCGAAGAATAGACACAATATTTCAGCACTAAACGCTGTCTCTTTTGCATCTCCGTAGCCGGTGTGCACCACTCAGAGACGACGAAAAAATCGAGCAGTGGGGGAAGTTCCTCTCTCACGTTCGCGCTGGTCACTGAGGTGCGACTAAAAGCCATTGTGTTGGGCGGAGCGCAGGCCACCGCAACAAAAGACGTGATGTGTATATGGGTGGAGGCGTGTTCACGAGAGTGTGCGTGGGGGGGGGGGGGTATAGAATGGAACAGCGAGGAGTGGTCTATTGTTAAATGGGCCGTGAGTGAGTGCGCGCGCGTGCGGTATCTAATTTGTTTGTTTTTCGGTGTTCTTTTCTTCTTATTTTTTTTTTCTTTTTTTCCCGGCCCACCACGCCGTCGTAGCGGTGGTGAGTCGGTAATGTGACGCTCGCTGCACCGAGGCGCCAAGGCGGGCTAGACCGCTTTGGTTGCATGTAGATAACTTGCCACCGGCCGGTGGCAAGTTATCTCTTCATTCACTTTTATTTCTTCAAATTTACGTTATAATTACTTTTATTAACAACCACTATACTTTCCCAGGCGTTATTGCATGTTTGTACAAGGTAATACAAGACGAACCAATATTACAGCAAACTGGGAGAGATATAGAAACACAATAACAGTCACGAAGAAAGCAATCACGAGAAGAAAAAAACACTTCTCAGGAACCGAATAGCAATGGTCACTTAGGCACACCAGTGCGCATAAACATTCTGCGGAGGATGGTTTATGGCTAGACCAGAGGCAACTCCGCAGACGACCAAGGCGACGACGCAAACAGTGGCGTAACTAGATAGGACGGCGCCCAGGGCAAATATATTTCCGCGCCCCTCATTATGCCCGTGATAATGTTTGTTATTATTATTATTATTATTAATAATAATAATAGTAATATTATTATTATTATTATAATAATAATATTATTATTAATAATAATTATTACTACAGCTCCTATTAATAATAATATTATATTAATAATAATAATATTATTATTAATAATAATTATTACTACAGCCCCCCCCCCCATTAAAAGCGCTAATGTAGGCTTCCGCGATTGCCTACTGGCGCGCGGCGGGCCATTTCGGAGGCCAAGGGCCACCAGTTCTGATTTCGATGAGCTACGCCCGCGTTTTTGTATAGTATTTTTCTTTTTTTATTCAAACTTCCGGAAGTCCCTTACCCGTCATTGTTCTCTTCCAGTCCACACTGCAAAAATCTTGACGGCACGGGCGCTTCCCAGGCCCAAGTTTCTCGTACCTAAGCTTTCGCGCTATTTGTGCATCCCAAGGAATGCAGGGTGAGTACAAAACAAAGCAACCAGCTAGACACCGCGCCCTCGGGTCTGGTATGGGGGTTAAACTGGTCGGAGTGTTCTGCCGTTTCGCTCCGTTCGCTGTTCCATTGATGGAGGTCATCCTTGTGCGGCCGCATTCTTTCAGGGAAGTTCTTGGTTTCTCCAACGTACGAAGCGGGGCAGTCGGCACATGCTGTCGGGTACACTACGCTCTGCGCTTTTTTCGCAGGTGCGTGTTCTTTGGGCCAAAGGATGAACCTGCCCATGGCGGTGGATGGCATGTGGGAAACGTTGACCCCCGCCCTTCTATTGCTTTGCTGGCGCCCGCGATGCAGGGAATCAACAAACGTCGCCGTCGTGTCACGCTTTCTCCGTCTTTCCTCCAGAGAACTCTGCGAATAAACGCCTTTGTTTAGCCTTTGGTGCCGAGGTCACGGATTATATTCGCCCTTCCTTCCGCCGCTGCGTGGACGATTAGTCGTTGGACGATCGGCTATTTCGTTGGAGTTTTCTGTTCTTACTCAAAAAAGGTGCATTCGAACTTTTTTATTTTATTTTGTTTACGTACGTGGTTGGTTTCAGGGAAGCTTTCAGTAAGTGGTTTGGGAGGCTGGTGGGGTTCGCTGAAACTCATCTAACCCAGTGCTGCGGAGCACAAAACAAAGCTTAGCCGAGGGTCATGGGAAGGCACGGAGGTAGCGCAGCAAAATGAAAATAGAGGATCCTTTTCCCGATGCAAAAGCCATTGCGGCAACCCTTTCCTTCACCACCATCCCCACTTCCAGTCGTACATTACAACCTCGCCCCTCCCCCCTTCCAGGCGGTTTTACGGAAAAAAACATTGACAACCTTTCCAGGGGGCGCCAACCCGAGGACTCGGCTTGGCGCCCCCTCCCTAGTGGCGCCCGGGGCACTTGTACCCCCTTGCCCCCCCCTAGTTACGCCACTGGACGCAAATGCACTTTGCGTACGTAAAGGTGTTGCGTATACTATAGGCGATACGCCGAGCTTTGAGGGTTGGGCAGCAGACCAGAAGAACAGAAACTAGCTAACCCGAGTATCGGGCCTACTCCGGAGACATCTTTCTATAGCTACCTGGCACGACTGCTGCTGCGGCCAAACGACTAGATTAATGCGTGGCGCCGGTAATTTATGATAATTGTCATCGGTCTCTGCTGCTAAGCGCGATGACTTCGTGCCCAGCGGGCGCTGCTGCCGCACTTCCCTGGTCATTGCCACGACCCCAAAATGTGGCTACCTACCCCCCCCCCCCTCTCCCCACTACGCTTTTGTGGCCACCTCGTGTCGTCTGCTCTCGCGCTGGTCCGGCGAGCAGACAACACCGCGAGCCTGCCGTGCTATTTAGCGCGTCTCAGCTGAATTAGGCCTAGCCGCCGACGCGCTTTCGAAACTAAACGCGGTGAGCTTTTGTATACCGAGCGCAATTCTCTAGCGACATTCTGTAAGTTAGGTTGTGCTGCCTTTCTTTTATTTCGGGAACCAAACAATGGAGGAGACGACGCGACGTGTACAAACGTACTGTCATGTCGGCGTTTACATAGAGGGCGCTCATGTTCGTCGGCGAACCCCTGAGTTATCACGTGGTCACGTGTCGACGGTGCCGAGGTCGAGTGCGCAAATGAGCCTTCGTTAAAGCACAGTGCTGCCGTATCATAAGTCGCGTTGAGAGGTGGACCTTCCGTGTATAACCCGAACTCGGCACTGATTACTTGACTGTCTCTAATGTCGTTTCATTTTGTTTCGTTTCTTCTTGCGTTACTTGGGAGCCAAGTATGACGTCATCACATAGAAGACACAGTAGTCTAGCTTTAAGGAGAGCAGCAAACAGGCTACGTTCTTTTCTGGATATTGAAAAAGCTCACTTGTCCAATGGTCATGTGTGAGTGGTTATGACTACATCATGACCATTTATGTGACGTTGACATTTTTTGTGACATAACCATTTACTGACACTTATCGAGTCAAACGTATGAAATTGAAAGTGTACCACCAACTACGCTATACGGACGTGGCAACGGAATGCTTCGGATCTTCTTCGACCAACATAATTGTTTGCTTTAAACTTGATAAGGCCGTTCACTTTGTCCAAAATTCCGCTCCCATCGTAATGCGGAAATAGGGTGTCGAACCCGTGATCTCGAACTAAAGAACGTTTCACATATGCGAAGAACCGATATACATGCAAAACGTGTCTCGGGCTTCTTCGAAAACAGTAAAACGAAAAGTCATCAACAACAACGAAAAAAGTCGAGGCACGGCAATGCCCTCTCGTCGCCAACTTATAATTGAGCCTGGATATATTAGATCGATCGAACTATTCTATCTTTTCCTGTACGCGCAGGATTCCCTGTCTAGCTCTACAATTACATCGCCGTAGTTGCGTATATCCATGCCCACGGCCGTGCTCAGCCGCATGCTCACTCTTATAAATATTCGTTCTTTTTTTATTATTTGGGCCGTGCTGGTATTACTTTTTCACGCTATTTGTCTTTAAGGCTACTGCATCGGCACTCGGTTACACGGGTATAGAATGTCTACCCTATCCATACATGCGGGCCAATCGCTTCTCTCTTCGAGCCGTGCCCAGCGATATAGCTAGGTCTAATATGGAGAAACCTCGCATGGGCATGCAGGGTGCGTGCATGCGCTGTTCATTTGGTTAATTACTGACCGAGGAAACGCGTCCTCCCCAAAGCTGCAGCCTTTTGCAGCGCATGCACCGCCTCTTACCTTCGCCCGGTGTCTATAAGGCGCGTCGTTTGGTTTCGGGGCCCGCTAATGGCGGTAGGGTTAATAAACGTGTCGATGACGCTGCGACCGACCGGATTAATGACCAGTTCGGCGTGCGCTCGCCCGGCGTGTTTATTTTGTTTTCGTTTGCGACCCGTTTGGATGAAAGGAGAGGGGGGGGGGGGGTGTTACATCGTGTATGTACGTACGCTTCGTAGAGGGAACCTGCATCGACTTTAGCGACATGGGCCACACCCATATCTGGGGGCCTCCGACGCGTAGCAAACCGTCGTTTTTCGGGTAGGAAGCGTGATTATGAGCCGTATATTCGCAGCACGACAGCCTCCATGAATCGAAAGAGAGAGAGAGAGAAGCAAATGGCGACCACCACGGTGGCGGTGATTTTGAGCAGACGTGCTCAAATGCACGAGCACCTCGCGTACAGGTGATGCGGGTAGGAAAAAATTAGAAGAAAAAAAATGCCGCGTCGTCTGCTGCAACTTGGTAGGGAAAAAACCAAGGAAAGAGGGCAGACTGAGGAAAGAAGCGCGTAGCAGACGATAAAAAAAAGTAACAGAAGAAATGCAGAAGGCACGCCGTCTGCTCCGATTATCGGCTCCAGAAGGAGAAAGAAAGAAAAACAAAGCGCATGCGCAAAAAAAGAGCTTCGATCGGCTAACTTTCGTCCGGCACAAGTACCCTGCGACTTCTGCGTGTATATACGCACGCGTCGGATTGCCTTAAGCTATAGCGGCAGCGACTTGGAAACAAAGTCTCACCTTGCCGAAAAGCCTCTCGAGGTATACTTGTAGATAAGACGCGTGCGAAGACGCAAAACAAACGCACATACAAATGCACGCTTGTTTTCTGTGCCAACTCGTGCGTTAAACCTCTCCAGCTTTGCCGCGCATTTCGAAGCCGCAGCAGCGTATATCGCTCTTCTTAGAGCCCGCCTGTTTTCAAAAGCTCGTTTTGCGATCCGATAGCTCGCACTTCGTTCATGTATAGCTAGCTCAAAAAAAAAAAAAAAAAACGCAAGCACGTTCACACCTCTCGATGGGCGGCCGTAACATCCGCGTAGTAACACCGTTCTGTCCGCGTTCTCTGCGCGCGGGCGATGGCTTCGGTGTCTTTTATCTGACCCGGCCGCACCATCGCAGGAGGTCTTCCTTTGTGAACTCGACAGTCTAATGCACCTCGATTAGGGCTGATGAACGTGCGTTAATTAAGCGAATCGAAGTAAGGTCGAAACGGGTGTTCTCTGTTCATTGATACCGTGTAGGGCAGGGGAACATACTTCTGCACCAGGCCTCCGAACAAACGTTAAGCGGTTAATTAGCGAGTACTTCCCTGACATTCGCTCTTCTTGTAAGACTCATGCACTACTGTGTTGCGGGTCAGTAAACATTGAACAACAAACAAGAGCAATGTCAGTGGTGAACAAAATTTCCTTCAGCCCGATCCGAGCTTTGTGTTGCTCTGAAAACACATATTTAGTACAACTCAAAACCAATAGTGCACAAAAAGTAACGAATGAGTTTTGAAAAGCACATCCTATTCAATCCGAAGAAATGGGCAGGTCACGTAGTGAGAAGACAAGATAAACGCCGCTCATTAAGACTAATACCCCTGTCACACGTGGCAACTTAAGTGAACTTCGAGCGAGTGTATACTTACGCTCACGAAGTGTCGTTTTGGCGGTTCGCTGCTACATGAGAAAGTGAAGTGTACTTTGCAAATGATGGCAGTGGTGATTGATGGATTTGTTGTACAACGTAAATATATTTTTTTTACTTTTGCACCTGTGCCTCATCGTCGGATCACGATGTCATCGTGGAATTGGCACCTGTGGCACATGTCATCCTAAATGACCAGAGAACAACTCGCCTACACATGTGCAAGTGCACCTGGAAGTAAACAACGCGACGGACGCAGCCATTGCTGTGCATGTGCTGCCGCATCCCCCTAGCGGACGTGGCCGCAAACATCCCGACGGTGAAAGTAGCGAGGATATTGTTGTATTTATCACTTTTTTTATACATCCCAGCAAAATCAATGTTTTAAATATAGTATGAGTGCCGCTTTAGGCAACAGCGTCTTTCTGTACAAGCCACTGGTACCGAGGCTACACACTTCATCACAGCTGTCGCAGTGAAGTGAGATTGGGAAACGCACTTGCTGGCAAGTGTAATTTTCAGCGAGTGACATTAAACTTACACGTTTGACAGCGCCCAAATGACACTCGCGGCTAAGTGTACTCGCTCAAAGTGCACCTAAGGTTCTACGTGTGACAGGGGTAAAACACTGTATTCCAAGAGACGGTAAGCGTGTGAAAGAAATGCAGAAGGTTATAGATGGGCACATGAGATGAGAAGCTTGGCTGCATCAAGCACAGGACAGGGTTGACTGCCGAAACACGGGGGATGCCACATTTGCCCTGCAGTGGGTGTTGTAGCCAAGGCTGGTCATGATGATGAGGTATCAATAAAGGTGCCCAGTATAAGGCACTACGTGCAGTTTAATGCTTGCGACGATTGCCGCGAAGAAGTTTGTTTGATGACGAGGATGAAGTCCGTATTTACAAACGCTTCTCGACTCGAAACTCGACCTCAAGTGATCCTTGAGGACTGTCTTGCCTTGCGATTTCTGCAGCGCGAAAGGTCTTCAAGATTTCTTGAGGCCAGCTTTCGAGTCCAGGAGCGTTTGTGAATACGGCCTTAAGAATTGCTTCCTGGCTTAGGCCTCGCTCACAGTATAAAGTCCTACATACAGTTTAGTGTCTACAAGAAGGTTGTTTCAAAGGTTGTCCTCCTTGCTTGTTGCAGGTATGAAGGTTCGCAACTCTTCGGAGAACCACAAGGACATGGTGCTCAGCGGGGGCGGCGTGACGTCCCCGACAGACGTGTTCTGCTCGGTGCCCGGCCGCCTGTCGCTGCTCAGTTCCACGTCCAAGTACAAGGTGACCGTGGGCGAAGTGCAGCGCCGCCTGTCGCCGCCCGAGTGCCTCAACGCGTCGCTGCTCGGCGGCGTCCTTCGGCGCGCGAAGTCCAAGAATGGCGGCCGCTCGCTGCGGGAGAAGTTGGAGAAGATAGGACTCAACCTACCTGCCGGTCGGCGCAAGGCGGCCAATGTTACTCTGCTCACCTCTCTGGTAGAAGGTCAGTGCACATTCCGCCAAAGTGTTGAAACCAGCATGGGCGTAACCCTTTGTAGGTGTATTTTTCTAGGCGCAACATTGCTATGGTAAACCTGTAGTTGCAATTTTGTAACATTGTAGGTGTGACACTGTAGGTGTAACCTATCAGGTTTACCCTATGACCAACGGTGGCCCAAGAACAGTGTAGTGGAAGTTTCGACCATTGCACCTGTAGAACAGCGTTCTCAAACTAACCGCAGCAGGCAGGCAGGCCGCAGTCACTGGATTGGCGGTACATTCGACTGTTCGCACTCGAGAGCTCCTTAGCGCTCTAGCGACGCGCGTCACTTCCGGCTGGACGAAATTGTGCGCTTTGAATGCGTTCGGCTGGTTTTCGTTTTGCAGCACCACGCTCCAACTTTGAGTGCTCTGATTGCAACACTCGTCTGATTACAGCACAAGATGCGGTGACGTGTTTCCTCTTCCGTCCTCTGATTGCTGTGGCAAGCGGCTGTACTTTCGGACTGTACGCGCGGCCTCTGGATTGCAACAACAGCGGGCTATGCGTTGTTGCAATCGCATTGTTGCAATGAGTCAGAGTCATTGTTGCCATGATTCAAGGCGTGGGGCCACCAAGCCGAATGTGACATAAGTGTTAGAGCAGGGAAGAGGGGGGGGGGGGGACTGTTGGAAAAATATAAGCTGATCACGCCATTTCGGACAATTCCCACATTTCATATATTTGACGTTTCTGAATGGGATTTGACGTCAGGTTTCGATAAACACATCGATACTGATTTCCAGAATGACTGAAATCTGAACGCCGATTCTGCAATATTGAGGTTTTGATGTACTGTTATGGTTTAACACATAATGACCGCATAGCCTGACCGCATTGAGCATGCATGGAGGTGTTTATCGTTCCTTGTAATATAGCATGTCACCTCTTATAGATTTTGATCAGACACTTTAGTCGGTATTGTTCGCTTAACATGTGCAAACGAAGACAAATATAGTACATGGGTGCATGATTGGAGCAATGCACGCGGTAAACCGTCCCCAGGGGCTTGTTCCAGAGGGAAAATCGAGACATAAGTGAAACAGGACCACAAACAAGGTGCCAGCTGTATTGTCACATATTCTCCGCTTTAAGTATACCTCACCCCCCCTTCCCCCCCCAAGAAAAAAAAAGGAGATGGACGATTTACGACTTTGAAAATCGACCGCGGCCACCCAGCGACGTTTCAGAGTTGGTAGGGGGACACGCTCGCGCCCAATCGCTCGCGAGTTGCGCAAATAGAGATCGAAGGATCGATCGTTAGTTCCGAGCCGGAGTGGCCGTACACTATCTACCACGGCTGCATACAGGGCGGAGACCGCGCTCGTAAAAGATAACTCACTGGCATATGGCCGTGCTCTCCTCTTGGCCCGATGCATCCGTCCGTCCGAGTCTCTCAACTGGAGTTAAGCGTGGAAGAAGTCACAATCGAAAGGAGAACGCTTCTCGAAGTTCTCCCGTACTCGGACTTCGCGAGAATCCTTGGACTTCCGACAACTGTTCAGAGTTCGCCCCCCATCACCCGGACTGGAGGGGCATGTATGGCATCATCTCACCGTATAAAACACAGCGGGCCGTCCCTCTACGAAGCCTTCGTCTCCTAGCAAGGCGCCCCATCTCTCGGAAAAGCACGGCTTTCCTTCCCTCTTTTTTTCTCTTCTCATCGCATATCTCTTGACTCGTCTTCGCAGTCAGTTTCGGAACGCTCCGCCTGTCCCTTGCAACGCCTGGTCCGCATCTCTCGGAAACTCTCCCTTTCTCTCGTGGCTTCGAATATCTCCCGTATGCTAACCTTGATTCACTTTCGTAACAATTCTTCCGTCCCTTTAGACGACTGGGTCCGTGGACCCCCGTGCATTTGTTTCCCCGCATTCGCACCACTACGATTGCAGACCTCACCAGCCCCAACAGCTTTCTCTCGTACGCCGCCGAACGTTGCGACATCTGGCGGCGATTTTAGCGCCGCGTTGTGACGGCATTCCTCACTACCGTCGTGACCCGAGTTGCCGATGAAGTCGTGAGATGCGACCTGATGTATACACACCGAGTTGTGCACACGGCTTGCTGAAGCTCTCTGCACGCGTAGAGACGGCCGCTCGTCGGTATTTGTCCGGCATGTGTAAATGTCGCGATGCAAAAATTAGATTGACAAGTAAAGATAGGTTCGGAACGCCGGAATCTCAGTCGGTACGTTCTTGAGCAAGAGCTGTCGCAGTTGGAAAGTGAGCTGGCAGGCCGAGTACGCGCGATAAATCACGAATGGCATTGAATATGTACCAGGATATCAGGTAGTGCTGTATGTGAAGCTGCAGCAGTACCTCATTGATACTGTCCCGTTTCGTGCGATTTTCTTCGTGGTATATTTGTTAAGTGAAACTTCGCGATAATTTTGTGAGTTGGAATTGGGAACGCAGGTCTGACATATTAAGGCAACTTCCCAGGTGGTCAAAATTTCCGGAGCCCTCCACTACGGTGTCTCTCATAATCATATGGTGGTTTTGGGACGTTAAATCCCACAAATCAATCAATCATATTAGGACAACTTTTGAAGGCGGAAGTGCTTTCACTATAACAGACAATGAATCGGGCGGGAATCACGTCACTGCATTTTTTTTTGAAATTTGGTTATCGACCTGGTGTGCCACCTACTGGCTACGCCCTTGATCAGTGGGGCGAAGCATCTATCTATCTATCTATCTATCTATCTATTTATCTATCTATCTATCTATCTATCTATCTATCTATCTATCTATCTATTTATCTATCTATCTATCTATCTATCTATCTATCTATCTATCTATCTATCTATCTATCTATCTATCTATCTATCTGTCTGTCTGTCTGTCTGTCTATCTATATATCTATCTATCTATCTATCTATCTATCTATCTATCTATCTATCTGTCTATCTATCTATCTATCTATCTATCTATCTATCTATCTATCTATCTATCTATCTATCTATCTATCTATCTGTCTATCTATCTATCTGTCTATCTGTCTATCTGTCTATCTATCTATCTATCTATCTATCTATCTATCTATCTATCTATCTATCTATCTATCTATCTATCTGTCTGTCTGTCTGTCTGTCTGTCTGTCTGTCTGTCTGTCTGTCTGTCTGTCTGTCTGTCTGTCTGTCTGTCTGTCTGTCTGTCTGTCTGTCTGTCTGTCTGTCTGTCTGTCTGTCTGTCCACTCCTATCACACTAGAGCACGCATCGAACGGAGGGATGGACGCTTCGCCCCACTCATAATTTACTCCGTGGATATGCTGTGAATTTTAGAGTAACTGTAAATGCTACCCCTAAAGGTAGCATACACAGTGACTAGTGGAATTTCTTTTAACAGCGCCATCTACCCTCTTTAATCGTCAGCTATACGAAAACCACTAACGCCATCCGGTGATTTCATTTCCAGGGACGTATACACACAACGTCATCTAGTGAGCAATTGATAAACTAGAGGTGGTTATACATACTACATACAAACGGAAGAGGGAACGACCCAAAACCTGAGAAGGTCTTCGCCCCCTAAAAAAGAAAAAAAAAGTTAGCATAGCATCTCGGTAAACACCACCGTCATATTCATTCTCCGCACGCTTCCGCTATAGTGCATCGCATCAGAAAAAAACAAATAAAATAACTCATTAGGCAGAAAGTTGCATCCGCCACCAGGAGCATCCGTCCGATAAGAGAGTATCTGCGTCCGATACGTAATAGCATTCAACTCCACGAGAAACGACCGTGGCTACGTCAAATGCGGAAAGAATATGTTCCGCAACTTTTTGTTTTCTTAAGTGTTTTGCGAAGCGTCCGCTTCGTCGGCACAACATAAACGACGGGCGCGGTAAGCTCGCCTTCCGGATTATGCGGACAATTTCCGGTTTATGTGGATGGCTTCCGACTTATACGTAGACTGCTTCCGGATTATGTGGATAGCTGCGTCGTCGTCTTCGGGACAGATAAACACTCGAGAGAGAGAGAGAGAGAGAGAGAGAGAGAGAGAGAGAGAGACGGAGTTGCAACACCGGACGTGCCACCACCACGACTGCCACGCCACTTTTTGTTGAGAAGATCCGCTTTGACGGCAAGACTCGCAGGGCGAGTTTTGTCGGGCACGTCCTTCTCCTTGCGACCTGGGTGTGCTGTGCCGCAAGCTGTTGATTCTCGAATCACGCATTCAGGGATGATTCACTTCGTCTAACTTCGCGTTCATGTGTGTCCGGTTTAATTGCGGCGCGAATCAGCACGACACATACATGTATAAACTGTAATGAACGCACACAAACAAAGCGAAGACAAGGTAGTGCTTGAACTTCCACTTCCATTACTTTTGTGTGTGTGTGTGTGTGTGTGTGTGTGTGTGTGTGTGTGTGTGTGTGTGTGTGTGTGTGTGTGTGTGTGTGTGTGTGTGTGTGTGTGTGTGTGTGTGTGTGTGTGTGTGTGTGTGTGTGTGTGTGTGTGTGTGTGTGTGTGTGTGTGTGTGTGTGTGTGTGTGTGTATTGACACAAGCTGTCTTCGAACTACGCTGGCTGATTCTTGCGTTTTCCGAATAGTTCACGACATACTTGCGCAACGTAGAAGTCTGGCAAGTAACACGTGCCTTCATGTCCCACGCCATTGCAGCTGTGCGGTTTTTTCGCCTTTGATGTCTCTCTAGATGTCTGTCTAAAGCTTTCGCCGGAAAGGGAAACAATGTTACAGTTTAGACCGATCCATTATACTCTGAAAACCATATCGTCGTCAATTTGGTTATCGTAGGCTCATTAGCAGAAAAGAAACCAAAGGTTAAAATTTCGCTGTCATTGTCAATCTCTCGCCAAATATCTCCGCACGTGACGTCACAGATCTGGATGTGTTTTATTTGTATTTCAACCATGCCGACTCAAGCAAATTTTCTTAAACTCGGTATGCCAAGCCTCTGGTCCTCACAGAGTAACAATGTACCTTATAGTTGATCGATC